ATGATACAACCTAAAGGTTTTATATCCAAGTCAAATCCAAAATTAGTATGCAAGCTAGAGAGGTCCATTTATGGACTTAAGCAAGCCTCTAGGAGTTGGAATGTCCGTTTTGACAAAGCCATTAAATATTTTGGCTTTGTGAGAAGCAATGAGGATCCATGTGTTTATAGTAAACACGATGAGAGTACTACTGTTTTCCTTGTCATATATGTAGATGACATACTGATAATGGGAAACAGTGTTCCTCATATGCAGTCGGTGAAGGATTGGTTATCAAGTACCTTCATGATGAAGGACTTGGGTGAAGCTCACTACATTCTTGGAATTAGGATCTATCGAGATAGGCCTAATATAATGTTGGGGCTTTCACAGTCCACCTACATAGATAAGGTACTAAAGTGTTTTTCCATGGAAAATTCTAAGAAAGGAAATCTTCCAATGGATCATGGCATCAAGTTATCAAAGAAGGATTGTCCTTCTACTGATGTTGAGCTTGAGCGCATGAAGAAGATACCATATGCTTCGGCAATAGGATCTATCATGTATGCCATGACATGCACAAGGCCAGATGTGACTTATGTGCTTATTATCACCGGCAGATTCCATCAGAATCCTGGGGAGGAACATTGGAAGGCCGTTAAGACTATTCTTAAGTACCTTAGACGGACTAAAGAATATTTCTTAATCTATGGTGGGAATAACGAGTTAGCAGTTACTGGGTATGCTGATGCTAGTTTCTAGTCTGACCATGATGACTTTAAGTCACAGCCGGGTTATGCATTCATTTTCAATGGTGGGGCAGTGAGCTGGAATAGTTACAAGCAAGCAACCACTGCAGATTCAACCACTGAGGCCGAGTACATTGCTGCATCTGAAGCCGCAAAGGAGGCTGTTTGGATCATGAGTTCTTAAAAGAACTAGGAGTAGTTCCAAGTGCCAGTTATCCAATATCTATATATTGTGATAACACCGATGCAGTTGCACAGGCAAAAGAACCAAGATCCAACAATCGAAATAAGCATGTACCGAGGCGCAATCACTTGATTAGAGAGATAGTTGATAGAGGAGAAATAAAGATAGAACGTGTTCAGACTGAACACAACTTGGCTGACCCATTCACCAAACCATTGTGTATAGCAAAACACAATAATCATTTTGAGAATTTGGGTATTAGATACATTGGTGATTGGCTCTAGTTCAAGTAGGAGATTGTTAGTATATGTGTCCTAGAGACAATCAATTTTGGGACAAATGTACTTGATCACATTCATATTATATTTGATGATATTCATGGCTCCCTTGAGTTAATACTGTCATTATCAGAGTGAGATGTTAATTGATAGAGTATAACTCTTAAATTACCTCAATCGATGATCATTAAGAAACGGGATAATTTATTACAAAAATTTCTCCCAAAAATATTTTTTTTTTCACCCACTGTATTTCGAATATCGCGTGTGAGAATAGCACGTGGAACCCGAGATGCAACCGGGATTTAAAGTCATTTAAGTAAAAATTTTATATAAGTCAAAATCACCAAAATCGAAAGGAAGAGATGGAGTAGAAGCAAATTCAGCTAGATGACGCTTATGATTTACATCAAAGTTTTGAAATAAAGAAGAAGAAGATAAGAACTTGTTTCAGTAGATCCACCCCCAGATGCAATGTTACTTCTCGATAGTTGAGAAGAACTTGTTTCAGCAGATCCAGCCCCAGATGCAGTGCTACTTCTCGATAATTGAGTTTGCCTCGAGTCAATCCTCATTTTGGCCGGATGATAGGTTTGTACGTATAGTTACATGGTTCCGTACCCATTGACAATTTTGAAAGTGTACCTCTTCTTTTGGCTTCGGGCGGACAGTTCTTGCAAACACATATGAAATTCTTATCACCTTTTTTCGTATCGAGCACCTTCGCCAAATGCCTTATGAATATGTCAGATATCAACTATCGACCCCTAGCCCCGAGTTCCGCGGCCGTCTATTGACCTTGAGTAGGATCGTAATCGTCACCTGGCTCCAAGTCTTCAAACTCGATGCCCTCGGAATAGCTTCAATAGTTTTAAAGATGTGTTGGACCTCCACGGTAGAGTGGACCCAAAACGTCCAGGTATACCATTGGCGTCGACAATAGATGACCACTCGTACATGCTATATGTTTTTGCTTTTGTGGTCGTCCTCCACGAGAACTAGACATTTGTGTAACTTAAATAGAATTTCTAAAAAAATATTGCAATTACTGAACAAATGAGAAAATTAGAGAGTATTGAGGAGCCATTATAGCAAGAGTAATGAATTTGGTTTAAAATTAAGTGGGTCGGATGGGTGTATTTATGAAAAAAAAATTTAGTTAATTCGGGAATAGTCTGTTCAGAGAGAACCGGGCGATTCAAACGATTCAAATGCATTTCGTCTGCTGGTCTCAATGGTCAAATTGATCTAACAGCCGATTTTAAAAATCTGACCATTGGATCAAACGATTCCCACTACAAGTCTGAAGTTGCCCAACCCGAAACCTTAAAAAATCCGAACCGTTGGCTCTCAACGGTCAAAACGATCCAATTGTCAGTTTTTTTCAAGGTCCTGAAAACCGAAGTGGTTATTGAATCGGTCAAACTAGTGGTTCAATAGTTCACTAGTCCGACTAGTGGTTGAACCGATCGGACCAATATTTAATTTATTAATATTTTTAAACAAATATAATATTTTATATAATTAAATTTATAGATTAAACTTTGTTAATTAAATATTAAGCCTATTTAAAACATACAAATACTTAACCTAACTCATAATCCCCCTTATATATGATTTCTGAATTTGCGGAGTCTAAGTGACAGACTCACATGCTTCAGGATCCTATGTGTCAAAATTTCATGTTTCATTATTTGTCTTGGATATATTTTAATTTAATTTCAATCCAAAAATAATTAGTTTTGGATTATTCATAAATATGTTGATTATTTATGGTCATATTGCATGTATTAATTACATTTTAATTTTAATATCATTTGTTATTATAAACATTGAATTGTAAATGCATTTTAAAGTTAATTAATTTGTATTTTTTATCAGTTTTACATATATATTATATCAAATTAATCATCTATTGATGAGGTTCGATTTGACATCCATATTGTATGTAAAAAATAAATAAATTATATTTATCTATATAACAATAATAAAATTATTTGTTAGTATTAATTAAAAAACTAAGTTTTTTTATCCATTAGTATATTTATGTTTCAACTAATTATATGATATAAATTAGAAAAATTATTATAATATAAAACATGCAAGTCACACAAGTAACAAGTGTCACTTTAAAATATATAATAACTAGTATTCGACCCTGTGCATTTGCATAGTATAAATAGAATATTATAAGTTATATTTATGCTAGTATTAAAATTATAAGTTACACAATGATATTATATTTTAAACATAGAGTATTATAAGTTATATTTATGCATATAATAATAAAAATATAAATAAGATAATGATATTATGTTTTAAAATTTGATCATGGTTAAAATAAATAGTACATAACTATTTGATTGCATATGAATCACTGTATTAATTACATAAAATATAATAAATAATGTAATTTTGAGAGATCACCAATTTATTAGCTTAAAAATATTGAATTTATTATAACATTTGATTATGCGATTTTAAGGAATTTTAATATAACATTAAAATAAATTAACTTATTTAAAAATACAATCGCTAAATAGGATAAAAAAGATATAATATTAATTTTAGAATAAATAACTTTAGCAAAAAGTTTACAATATTTTTGTTATGTTTAAGTAATTTTTATATATCATTTAGTGATCTATCGTTTCGAAAAAAAAAATATCATTTAGTGTAAACTATAGTTATTAGTTTTAATAACAACTATTACATGATATAATAAAATAATATAATTATTACTCCATTAATATAAAATGTAATGGTTTTATTTTAATTAACCATAAAAAAGTGCAATGAAATATTTTAGCATTAATTAGATATGATGGATTAATAATAATAATAATAGAAGATTGTAACATAAAAAGATGGTAAACAATAATTAATATTATTAAATTTATTGTTGGTAATTAAATATAGAGAGAGATATAAATGATAAAGTTTGTAATGGTTTTTGGAGGAAAATCGAAATGATTTGTATTAAATGTTTTATTAAATGCTATTAGCCAGCAATTATATATATATAGATATATATTTTTTTTGTAAAAAGAGTATTTAAATTTTAAAACACTTTTTTTCTTTAATTTTAAAATTTGAAATTAAATTCTTTTAACAAGCATCCGTGTAATACACGAGTGTTGTACTAGTAACTTATATATATCCATTATATTTAAATATGTATTTTTATTTATATATATAATATTTNCCGATTTTTGGCCGATTCGCTGGTAACCGATTCATTCCAGCGAACCAGACCATTCAACTTACCGGTTTCCAGTCCAACGGGTCGGACCGCCAGTCCGGTCCAATTTTCTAAACCATAATTTTTTCCTGGGTCAGTTCCCAAAAAATATAATCATTTTTCTTAGATATGATTTTTTTTTTTAAAAAAAAGGCTTTTCCACAGGGCCGGTTCCAAATTTTTATTTTTTACTTGAACCTGAACCGACCCGGATTAAACCATAGGTCGGTTCAAGACTCGTGGTCAACGGTTTGGACCGGGCTCAAAACTGTTGACTTCCGGGCCCGGGTTGGGCCAGTTTGCGGTTCGAGGTGTGGCCACCTCTACTTAGAAGGCAACACAAAGAACTGAACGTAATTGTAGTTAAAAGAAGAGAAATCCACTCAAAAGGCAGTGCAAAGAACTCTGCATAAAAAGCTTGGCATTTTCAATATGTATATGTTCGTTAGGCAGTCCGAGTTCCTTCTTCTATTATAATGGAAAGAAGGGAAAAGTGGTCTGTCCCCTTTCCACTTTCCTTTATGCAAAATGAACTAGAAGCACCTTAGAAAGAAGACTAGCCAAGGAAGAAGGTAACTTAAAAAGAAAAAAAAAATAAAAATAAAGATGAAAATCTTCATCCTTTCCAGATTCACTGGAATGATGGTTGACATCTATACTTTATCAGAGGAATAAATTCAACATTTTTGCGAACAGTCATCTTCAACACAGATCTCTTTGTAATTCTCCCGGTTCTGAACCCCAAACAAATTGTAATAAAGTTCATTGGATTCTCCAATTCAGAGTCTAAATGTATTCTGTTACGTCCATCAGCATGCAATTTCATTCGAAGAATGATTGCTAATCAGCATTGAAATCCAGGTACATTCTATAGGCATTTCTATCAGAAGAATAGTAGCATTCTACTAAACAATCCACCTGGAAGCCAAGTTTCTTGTAGAGACTCACGGCTGCAGTCCTCGAGGGATCGACATGAAGTGATATTCTGTGGATATTTCGTGACTTACATTTCTCTATAGCTGCCTGAAGCAATGCTTCACCAAGACCCTGCCGCCGGAAGTTCTCTTTCACTGCATTGTATTCAGAAAAAATAAATAAAAATAATAAAGAGCAAATTCATCAGAAAAAATGTTTCCCAGCACTCACAAATAAACCACATAGCCAAGCGGATTGTTCTGATTAATATATAAGCTTTAGTTCAATTAGCACCACAAAAAAAATAAATAAATAAATAAATAAGACTGACAGCAGAAAGAGACTTGTGTTTCCAAGTTCTAGACTTTTGACCTAATTTAGCTGATTGGCAGGTCCCTCAATAAAAACGAGTTTTCACAGTTCTAAAATATTTGTTTTCAGCTTTATAAGTCTCCAAAGTTAAAAGTTAGATCTTACAAATCTTCAAAGGAAAAAGAAAAAAAAAAAAAAAAAAAA